TAATAATAATAATAATAATAATAATAATAATAATAATAATAATAATAATAATACAAGAAAGATATTATATTTAGTCATACAGACACCTATCTCGGAAATGTTGTGGCCGATAAAACACCAGAAAACATGCATAATGTTCTTAGAGTAACTTTGTTTACCTAAAGGTGTCCCCCTAGAAGTGTCCCTGTTTCAATCCGAGGTCCCATCATCCTAAACACAGGTTCGTTTTAGATAACCTGCTTTAAATAAACTGTGCATACACCACTGCCTCCATAACGCAGTCTGTTTTCCATCAACAAATCCCAGCGAATGCTCTGTCATGTCTAAACGGTGACAGTTACATGATGGTTGAGGTACGGGGGAGGAATCCCGGAACTCAGTCCAGCGGAGTTTCCTTCAAGATTCGGTTCATTCAAATCCAGCGTTAATCCTTTTCACAAAAAGAAACACGTAGTTCTGTTCGGTCAGTTTGGCATATTTACATACGGGCCCGCAGGTTTGGTTTTAGTTGGAAAAAATAAAAAAAATAATAATCCCAGCACTCAAAGCTGATTGGTTGACGTACTTCCTAAAGGGTACAGCTTTTACCTGCACACTACACAGTTAATTTAAATATCAATACGCGACCGACCAATGCACCGCTGGGGTCAAGACTTCGCCGTCGCTTAGCAACAACTTTGTTTGCTACTATTGACGAACTACGTAACTTAGCGGACAGATGTATCGTGTTAACCTAACGCTATTTTTAGTCCACGTGCTGAAGGTTAAAACTTGATTTCTCCATTTTCCTTCTTTCCAATTAGCTCGCATTCTCTGTGTGACCGTTTTCAGCCGCGCTTATATAACAACCGCGCTTGATCTAGAAAAGCAGCTGCAAACCGAGCCGCATCTTGGAGCTTTCTCCGCTGGAGTCCTCTGCCATGTTGTCTCTGCATCTCACACAGGGACGTCATGTAAGCGGCTTGTCCTCCCGGTTTTCATGCATCCCTGTCCGCATCAGCATTTTTTTTCCTCCCTTGAACAGTCACAGCGGGGGTAAGGCTGCTGATTTCCCAACCTGAAGTCACTCGCTGGAGTCTCGCCACCTACTGGACAACCTTGACGTAGTGCGTTTTCTGCTGAGGAAATTGTTGCGTTTCATGTTGAGAGGGATTCTCTCATAAATGGGCTTTTAGTGGAATGAGTTAGCTTTACATTATTGCGGTAATTCATTGAAGTACTCATCTCGATTATTGTATGAAAAAAAACCTGCTTCCTCTTGTTACTGTAACAGAGTGAAATATCAGTGTTGCTCCATTAAATTCAAATTATGCCCACATCAGTCAGAGTCATCTGGTGGTAAAGATGGAAAGTGCAACTACGGTTCTACATCAAGAAATATTACTGCGTAAATGCAACCATAAAACATTTAAACCCAGATTTAATCAAAAACATCCCCAAAATAGAAGCAACGCACAAATTGCAAGTTACTATTTGTTTCACCTTTGTGATGCAATAATAGTTATAAAGCCACAGGTCTGCAACAACTTCTGCTTGAACACACGACAATAAAAGTAATTTATCTCAAAACATACCTGCAACAGCTCTGTCTTCTGCCATTTGTCTTACAATAGTCCCCCTCAAGTTGAAGAAAATATTCATTCTGTGCGCACAGACAGGGCGAGTGGGAGACGCCGCTGCTTCAGGAAAAAGCCGTGCCGCTCTCTGTGTGCGCCTTCCTTGTGTTCAGTCCCTCCACTTTTCAGCCCATTATCCTCCAGGGGGAAAGAGCTCTGAGCGTCATCATGTTAGAGCCCACACAACCACTCATGCTTTCACTCTGTCGCTTTATCTCGACGAGGATCTGGATTCCCACAGACTTCTGGATCACCTTTTGATCCGTCTGATTTGCTGTACGTCACAGCCCATTATGCGATTCTGCTGCCAATCAGTGCAGTTAAATCGAGAACTGTGATTGAGTCATTTTGGTTTACAGTAAAATATCCCATTTCCCCCTAAAGGGTTTGGTCTCAATCTAAAAATGATTTAAGAAGCTTTGTGTTTCCCCCCAATTACTTAAACATTTCTGCACATCTTCAAAGTTCAAAGTCTACACTAAATTAGATATTTTCTTTCACAGAAGAAGTTTCTCATGAGTTGTTTGAAATCCCTTGTTCATACTTTGGACTTTTTCCTCTTGTTAATATCATCAGAGAATATCACAGTGAAAGCACATGAACAGAATGCTTTTCCTATGGCTCATTTGACACACTGAGCAAAGAAAGGATCAATGAGGGCATAAAAACAAGATAGCAAGTGTTTCGTATGGGGAAAATTCAATGTCATTTTGCACAGTAAAGACACTAAATGAATGTAAATGAAAAGGATCTGAGTTGCATAAAATATTGAGAGTTTGATTAACGGGATACATTTGGTTCTGGAACATCTTGAAAGCTATTCTGCTTATTTTAAATGTTATGTTAAAGGCTTATTTTTTAGTTCTCCATTTCACAGTTGCATGCAACAACTGCACATCATCACTTCAGTTTTACAGCTATTTTAAGTTGAATTTTTATTTCAAAAATTTAAATGTGGAAGAAGATTCTGTTTTTATTTTGTAATTTCACAACTTTCTTTTAAGTAAATGTTGGTAGGTAAGTAAGGGGCTTGAAAGATAATATGATTTTCCGACAGAACAGTGCTGAAGGCCGAGTGTCTCTGTTTCTGTAGAGATCACACCTGAAGTTGGCAATAATCTGCACAGCTCTGGATTCTGACCAGGAAATAAAGTTCAGTTAGTTCAGAAACATCAAAGCGACAAGAAGTTTATTATTTATATTTAAATTAAATCCCAGCTGAAGAGTTACGATTTGTTGACTTATATTAGCATAAATTACTCAAAATTAAAGAAAAAAGTATTTTGGAAAGCTTTATTATACTTTTTTTTTAATAAGTGATTTATT